ACAATAACATACGTTACAAAAATAAGTCTGACTGTTTCAACTACACGGTTATGTTCACAATGAGGACAGAAGAATCAGAAAAAACTCTGATCTAAACAGCAAAAAAGCAAACCCCTAACGTTTTAACTAATACATTTATCCACGCAAAGTGACCGAGTACTCCTAATTCTAATTACCTTATTGTGTAACTGCACGATACAGAATAAAAAGTGAAACTTACCGCTTTTGTTAAGACAAAATTCTAAACACTAGATATAAGCAAAGGGAAAAAAAGAAATCAAGCCAAAGTTTTGAATTCTCGAAACAAAACCAACTCTCTTTCTACCGTCCAGAAATCAAACTTGAAAATCAGTCATGATCGAGGGGGCCCACGAGAGTAAGCCACAAAAATTTCCATTTGTTTTTTAATCTCCAGTATAAAAAGTTCCACTGGTACAAAATGCATAAGTACAATCAAGTTGTAGAAATAGGAAAGCCTGCTTTTTTTTTTTTTTTTCATTTTTTTTTTTGTTCTTTTTTTTTTTTGGCTCAAATTCCATCAAACAACAAAATCCAAATGCATCAATAAAACAGAAACAATACTCAAATGGTCTTACAGTTTCCACTAGATTGCATTAACTTTGGCTTTTCTCAGACAATACTTAAAAACTAGTTCGTAATTCTAAACAAAATGATAGTATTATTAATCTACAAACAACAATTCTCACAGCACAAAAAGAACACAAATACATAGGTTTGTTTTTTTTTTCTTTTTGTATGACATTATCCAAAAAGGTAATGAAACTACAGGATATTTTTTCCTTTTGTTAATTAGCACTTAAGATAATAAAAACAGAAACAGTAAAATGATTCCAGAGTAGCACAAGCCAAGGAACTGTAACCCCTATGGTGAAAGAAAGATGAACTTGTTACTCCTTTGAGGACTGCCATTTCATTGCAATTAGCTAATTTGTTTGAAAAAACAACTAGTCTAGTCTTTTGATTAGAATTTTGTAAAGCAATTTCCCTTGTTTTACTTCCTCTCTTATTAGGCCCTTGCACCCTTGCAGCTTTATCCTTTCAATATTTTGAAAGAGAACTGGTACATAATTTGTCTCCCAGGAGGTGTACGTTTGGGTTTTTGGTTTCGTACTTGAATTTTATGTTATTCTTTAATTATTTTTTTTTCCCCCCCAAGATGGACTCTTTTATAAGCAATGAGCCATCTCAGTTGCCTGGAAGTACAGAAACATTCCTCCTCTCCCACTGCTAAGCCAATGTCCCGTGGAGTGTAATTCAAGGCAGCCTGGTGCCGAGTTACACTGCCTGAGGACCAGAAGCATCACCACTCTAACTGGACTGGTAAACCCACAGGACACACCAGGGCATCTAAAAAAGCTTTAGAAATTTAGACAGTGGGTACAACGAGAAATATTAGTGAAACAGTCTAAACAATCCAAATGATGATCTCATATTATATATATATATATGCACATATATATAATATAACGTACGTGAGATGATACTTTGAATACGCACAATTGCTGCAAGTAGTACAAAATAGCCCTCAAAGGGTGTAGGAAGGCCCCAGCAGTAGTAAAAACGTGAGAAAAGTACAGATCATTTATTTATAAGTGCATGTGCTATAAGAAGGAAACTTTTTTGCATCACTAGAGGCTAGTCCTTTCCATCCCAGGGCTCTAAGTAAAGAAGCATTTAAGTTGGGGATGAGAGACAAGAGTGCACCAGCTGATGTTGCTCATATAGGGCTTAGTTTTTTGAATTTGAGGCGGCTTCAAATAGAATTGGGTAGAACTAGGAGGTGGAAGAAGGTATGGCACTTTATGATCAGTAGCAGGTACTGCTGCTCACACGCATTGGGTTGGCAATGAATTCACTAGACCGGTGGCAAAGAACTGAATTTGGTTGTTTGGTCACTACTTGTGCGGTAGAATCGCAACCTAATCAGACTTACAAGGCAGTGTAAAAAGGGCTACCAGCATCTCTTTTCTGGTTCCTTACACAGAGCTTGCTCCAGCAAACACCCACGTCAGTCACACAGATATTCCCGTGGACTGCTGGGCCGAGTGAAGTCACTCCCCTCTGTATGAGTGTTGGCAGGAGTAAGCCGATATATTGCCGTGACAAATAATGGCAGATAACACCAAACATTACAGTGTATGTAAACTTTATCCATAAAAAGTAGTTTAACTGCAGTGCACACTGAATTTTCACCCAGGAAGATCTAGTGCATCTGATTTAAGCAAAAGTTCATTTATTTAAATTACAAAAATATTATTATTTTTTTCTTCTTTTTTTTTTTTTTTCTTTTTCCCCCTCAAGGTTTTCAAATGGTGGATTGACCGCTCCTGGCTGGGAGTGGCTCACACAATAGATAATTAAAGAATTGTTTTCTTTTTCTTTTATTTTATTAATACTGAATAGCATATTCCAGCAGCATATTAAAAGCTCTTTAAGAAAAGACAAAATCCCCAAAATCTAAAAAGGAAAACCACAAGTTAATTACTGTTTTAAATAATTTTAGTTATAGATACAGAAGAAATTTAGACAGCAGTAAAATATTTTTGTCCTTCAGATCTGCCCTGTGCATTGTTCTGATTTCAACCATGTATTAAATAAACCACAAAAAACTAAGTATATATATATTTATAGATATAGATATATATATAAAAATAAACAGCAAAATGGTGAATGTATAAAAGGTATTAACACTCAAGACAGCTCTGGGTGGAAAGGGTTAAAAGTTCAAAACTTTCTCACCTTAGAGGTTTCCATACAATATGAAGAAAATACATAGTGAGGTTTGCTTTCACAGCATTGATGTGTGCAGAGTGGTTAAAAAAGTGAAACATGGGCACTTATACAATGTTTTACAAAAAACATCAAAGAGAAATAACAAACAATAACAATTTCAGGCAACAAGACCACAGGATAGCAAGTTAACAAACTTTTTAACCTCTTTTTTTCTTTAAATATTAGGGATTTATACAAAACACATAATAAAATACCCATGTTATCAAATTACTTCACACAAGAAACACACTGAAGCTCTAGGAAGAAAGTACCTTTGGAATTTGGCACTATAGTTTCACTGATTTTTTTTTTCTTTAAAAGAAAAACCGATCACATTTTGCTGAACACAAACACACCTAAATTGTTCACAATAAAAAAATGACATCAATGCGTCACAAGCCAACACAAACTTATTCTGGAATATTTTTTCATTTTTCACATGAAATTATTATTTTTTTTTTTTAAGCAAACAACTTTTTTTTTGTGTTTTTATTTTTTTGAATCTTGTTTTTGTTCTTGTTGTTCAAGTAAACCAATTTTAAACTCGTCTTTTATAAACATAGAACACTTAAGACCATAAGACTCATGATGAAACCACAACTTAATTCACAGAAGCACCAACGTAACACATTTTACAGTAACCTTTCTTCTGTACATTGAAACAGTATAAAATATAGGTAATTTCATGTGCATTAAACCATGGATTGTCTAACTGTGAGTCAGTTCAGCAAAAGGTGACACAAGTAGGTAGCATTTGCCCTAAAACAGGGTAAATATTTTCTTATACTAATCTACAAAAAGTGGTTCTATATATATACTTTAATGAGAAAGTGAGCCACCTAAAATGGCCTTATCAAAAAACTTTACACTGCCTGAAAAATGTAAAAACTATTACAGACCTCTAGAGACTTAAAATCAGACAGTTTTATTTCTCAAACTGTTTTGGAAGTAGTCTGTTAGAAACCAACATTCTGTGCCTCTGGACACATATTGCTATTGTCACCAGTGACCAGGCAGAATGCCAATCCCTGTATAATACTTTCAAGTCTGTTTTTTTTTTTTTTATTTTTTTTTTTTACGAAATGAAAAAACCAAAACCGAGAACCAACCAAAAAAAAAAAAGAAAAAAAAAGAAAAAAACCAAACCAAACCAAAAACCAAAAACAAAACCCAAAACAAAAATACCCCAAACAAAAAAACTCTCCAAGGAAGGAAGAAAGAAAACCACAAAACAAAAGAAACAAAAAAATAACAGAAAAAAAAAAAAGGAAAGAAAGAAAAAACATTTTGCCACAGGTTGTTTTTTAAATCCTATCATTAATTTATCTAATAATAAATTTCAGTCTTGCGTGAATGCAGCAATGTTTTTTCACATTGACTTCCCAGAATTCATAGCTAGATGAGGTCACATGCAAATTTCAAAGGTCAAACTAGGTCAGTAGGAGAACCAAATATGATGTGAGGTCAGAAAGACATCAGAAACAATGACGGGACGATGAAACTTTTTTTTTTTTTTTTTTTTTTTTTTTTTTTTTTTTTTTGAGACGCCACAGGGACATGCTAGGCAAACGATGGGCTAACGGGCATGGAGATGTCTAGGGAAAAAACAAGGAAGAGGAAAAAAAGTTACACAGAATCTATGCAGCACAAACAAAATCACTTTTATGGGTGCAGGAGAAAACTAATGCAAATCTTTCATCAGGTAGAGCCTATGAGCCGGTCACATAATTTGCATTAACTTACAATACTTGTCAACAAGAGCACAATGGAACCCCAAAAGGATCCATCTCAAAGGAGTCAGAGAGAATGGATTCCTCTTTGGGGAGAAAAGAGAGGAAAGAACCAGTTTCTACAAATGTAACAGAAAGGTACAGGGAGGGGAGGGAAGGGTTAGACAACCGAACTTTAAACCAGGTAATGGAAACTACAAACAAAATAACCAGACAAATACAAACAAGAGGATAAAAGTATGAACTGTAAAGGGTGGAGGGTTCAACAGTGAAAAAGCGCCCATTCTTGGCACAATTACTCTAGAGACTACTTCAAAGGATCTAGCTAGCATAGAGAGCTGCTCTTTAGGTATCCAATAAGTTAACAATAGGCAATAAATAAATTCCATTATTTCTGAGGCAGTAAAAATTTTGTATAAAAATAGAAATGCTTTTTACAAATAAAATTTACAGGCCTGTGGCTTTCTTTTTTTTTTATTATTATTAAATTTATCTCTCAAGAAACATCAAGTATTGTCACTCATTTTATTTTATTTTTTTTTTATTTTAAACCCTGTAGCTTTAGAAACAGATCTCTAAATCTTTTTTACATTAATCCTTTCCAAAAAAAAACCCAAGAACTTAAAAAAAATGAAATATAAAGACGACCAGTGTAAAATCAGACTAATATATAACAATACGTTGATTTGAACAGAAAAAAAAAAATCAAATCTTCTCAAAAAACAAGTTGATGTAGTGGAAAGACTTGTTTCAATTTTTGTTGCAAAGTAAGTAAGTGCTTCAACTGGCATGAGGCCATATTGTTTAACCTATAAACTGCTGGTGCCACCCTGGTAAAATACGATCCATCCATAGAAAACAACTTTTATTGTGTGCTAATGGCACCAGGGTTCACAGAGTTAAATTGCACATTTTTTGTGTCTGTGTGTGTGTGTGTGTGTGCTGCTTTGAATTTCAAGACGTTTATTTTTTGTTTCAAAAAGGAGATAAATTATGCTGCAAAACAAAATACAGTAACACAACTCAGTAATTACTTGGCAAGGAAATGGGAGCCAAGTGTAATAAGGACAAGTGGGGAAATGGAAGTGGTAACTGTAAAAATAACTGTCTCTTGGTGAAGGTTGGCTCTATGCTCTTTCTTAACCCCCCTGCAGAGGACAGGTTTGCTCATGGGACTTACCCTAAGAAAGCTAAAATAAGAGCAGTAAGCATCTGGGGTTAAGATCAGTAAGGTTTGCTGTCATTTTTGGAGCGTTTCAGCTGAACCTTCAAGCGTTTCATGCCAATCTGAAAGCCGTTCATAGCCTGGATAGCAGCTTGTGCAGAGACTGGATTGTCATAGCTAACAAAACCTAGGAGGCACAGAACAGAGGTGGGAGAGAAAGTCAACTACAGGTTAGAACAAATGTCAGAGGGCATTTTGTTAGGTTTTTATTATCACTATTTATTTGATACATTTACCTTGCTTTCAATTCTTTCAGCACCTTTCATATCCCATTTCCTCTCCTGTTTCCTTTGCCTTCCTCTTTACCTTCATAATATTTCTTTACACTGGCTGGGATGCAGTTGGCCAGTTCTGGTGCAATGCAGTTTTCAGTCTGTTATTTATCTACCTACCTTAGAGACTGAAGATATTTATTACTGTGACACTTTTCAGTGTAATATCTACATACCTCCCAGATATTAGGAAGCACTATTTAGGCCAACCTGCAGATGGGAAGCTAAAACAGAAAGCCTGGTTACAGAATCAAACCCCGAACTCCCTATACCCATTGGCACACCTGGATGTGAGTTCAAGTGTGATATGGAACACTCATCTCCTTGGACTTAGCCTAGGACAGTTGCAATATTAGTATTTTGTATTTTTACAGATCTTAAGGTCCATTAATGTTTGGTAATTCAGCCTCTTGCTCCCCAGAGGGCCGTGCAAGCATCAGAATTAAGCAGCATCGTAAAGACAATGGTAGGGCTTGATGAGAACTCCAGATCTTCTGCTCCTCGGTTGCGAGCACTAACTAGGGGGATAATGCTTGCTAAGGTAATTCAGAATGGCTGGCCTGGCTCAGCTTTCTTCTCCCTGGGAGACTAGAAATGCTCTGTTCATAATATACTCAAATCTCCCTGATTCTGGAAGCTCAACATTCATTTTCATATCTAGGCCTCCCACTTGTAATTGCAAAGCTCGTCTAACTGCTGCTCTGCCTCAGCCTGGACTAATTATTACTGTACTCAGCCTGCTGTTATGCATCTGCTTTGAAATGCTCCCTCTTCTTTCCTCTTGAATTTGCCTTAACACATATCCCTTAATTCTCCTACGGCATGGATGCCACACACTTTGTTTTCAGTCCTAACACACAGGCTTTTCAGTGCCTCTCCTCCACAAACGAGCTTTATTCATTTGTGCTTAGTGTCTGTGTACTTTTTGGATCCATAACCTTTGTTTCCCTTTACTTTAACCGATTCTTTTATGGCTTTTGCTGACCTTGCACTACTGCCCTCTTCCATTTGCAGAATCAGAATGTTACACTTCCCCCATTACAAAGAAAAAACACTATTATCAAGTCATCTGGTCCTTGTCCAGCTGCTCTCCTTCACAGACCATCTCTATGGCCTCACCTTAAATCAACTTCACCAAACTATTTAACATAAGACTCTTCTCTGAACAACTCGGGCTAACTTCCATTCCTTCCACTCAAAAACACCTCCCACTTAAATCTCTGCAGACCTTCTCCTGGCCAAAGCCAATATGCTCTATCCATGTTGTTCTGTGGTTGATTATCTGTTATCTCCTTAAGGAATAATAAATATTCCTCCATACCTTCCTTGGTTTTAGTAACTCTTGTCACTTACTCACTTTCTCCACTAGATCATTCCCTCTTAATGTAACGGTCATATCCTAGGAGCTTCATCACTCTTTTTCTTCCTTCCTTCCTCCTGTTTTCTTCTAGGAGATCCTATCTGTTACCATGACTCCCATCATTGTCCTAGCTCTGCAGTCCTGTGTCTCCTTCCACAGCTCACAGATCTCAGCCTTGATCTCTAGGATTGCCTCAGGGATAGAAAAAGGAACTATCATGAGCTGGAAGGCAGCAGTAGCATCTTCCAGGCAGGTGCTCCACAACTGAGATGTAGCTACTCTTACCTACCTTGAGAATTCAGCATTTCCCTCTACAGCTTTCCTGACCTTCACTTTATTCTCTTAAATGCATTCAGTACAGTCTTCTGCTATGAACTTCTCACCACCTTAGTTCCTTTTCTTCTTATCTAGTTTTATCCACCTCGAAGTTAAAACAGTGATCTAAACCAGACACTTAGATGGTGAATGAAGGAAGCACACCCAGAGGTGGCTTTTCCACCCACCATTCTTGTCACCAATGTAGACACCTCCACTGATGATAGAAGAACAATTAGCTCAGGCTATGCTTGCCTTCTAGGGAGGTGAGACAAGTCACCTCATTCTTTGTCTTTTTAATAGCTTCCTTGACCCAGACACCACTTCAAACACACAACCTCTCTGCTGCATCAGTGGCATCAGCCCATATAATTCATTGTTATCCTGATTCATAATTTGTCTCTTTACACAGAATGTTGTACCTGCATTAACCTGTTACACTCTCATCTTCTTCCTTATTGAGAACCTTTATTTATAATGCTTACAGAGGAATCTGGCATTTTTTCCCTCTATTTGTATTTTTCTGATTGCACACATTCATCATTTGTTGTCTGAATTTTAAACCACAAGTTACATGAGGTTGGGATGATGTTTCTTATCATTTCACAAAGTCCCTGTCATGACAATTCTGATTTTTGTTTTAGATCTCTAAGTATCTTTACAATCATTCAAGTAGCAATTTTGCTAGGAGGCAAACTGCATTTATGCACTGATGTCACTGGGTCTCCCACCTCCTGCCTTACTTTTACATACCTCATTTTTCTTATTCTAAGGTTTATGAAAGACAAGAGATAAGCTTGAAGAGTGAAACCCTTTGTCTGCTGAATCAACTAAAGCCCACGAGAACTCATGGAAGAGCACTCCCAGATGTAAACAGACTGTCCTGTCATCCTTATCACCATTAAATCCTTTGAGCATTCATTTAGAGGTGGACAAGAAAGCAAAAAATCCCAAAGTCCACTTTCTGCAAAGAAAAGGAATTTTTCATTTTGAGAAGCAGTGTTACCTGAGAGTTCATCACTGTATGTCACTACCCTGCAACTCTCTTGGAATGCACCTTCCCTTCCCAGTTCTGCCAGTGGACAGACTTGGACAATCTTTACACCTTTTGGATGTTTAACCTGTTCTCATCTGTAATTTGATTTCCTCCTCCTTTGGGCAAGAGATTGGAAACTCCAGAGTAGAAAGCACTAAGCAACTGCAAATTATTATTATTATTATTATTATTATTATTATTATTATTATTACTACTACAAGGGGGAAAAAAGACCAAACCAAGCCAACAAAAAATCCCAAACCCAAACTGAACCAAGAGCAATGACCATTAATGATATAGGACAGAAATGGGTTCTTCAGCCCTAGTTTTTGGATGGGAGGACAGAGAAAAAAATAAAGCTTTTTAAAATACAACTATGAGACCAAACCAACAAAGACATGATTCCTGCTATTAAAGCTGAGGAGGTACATACAAGACTATGCCAGTATGTTAAAACAGCAGGATTAATTCTGGCTTTGCCTGTGATTGGCAGCACCACCAAGTTGTCACCTACTGAATCAAAAAACCTCAACTTCCCCTGCTACTTCACTATTTTTAGTTTCTAAAGATGAGCTGCTTTATTCTGCCCTGGTGGCAGAATATCTGTGAAGAAACAATAAGAAATGAAAATATCAGTGAAAGCTGCCTAAAACCAAAAAGACAGAAGATTGCTACATCTATTGGGTGTTGACATCTTCATCTTCCCTCAAAGAAGATCACCTCGGTGTTTCACTCTAAATTAGGTAAATTGTGTCCCATAAATCCAGAAAAATATGTAAGTAGATAATCAAAGAATAAAAGGAAAACTGCAAAAAGCAAGTATGGGAAGTGAACTGATGAATTGAGAAACCTGCCCAAACTAATTTGCATTCTTTCAGCAGTCACCACAATTGCTGCATTTCGATTATCGTAGCTTGATTTGACATTTCATCGAGATTCCTGGAGACCTCAAAAATGATTTTGTAACCCCAACCTACTAAGAGAACTGACTCCAGATCAATAGGGAGTCCATTTCAATTCCACTTTTCAAATTTGCAACAGCCTGAGGGACTGTTTTAACCCATTGCAGACAAAGGTTGGGCTATACTCATCTAGATAAGAATAATTTTTTTGCAAAGCCTAAAGAGGTGAATGTTTCAAAAACAAATGGAAGGACTACAGGAAAATGCACAAAGAATGTCACACCCTTTCTATGAACCAAATCACTTTCCAAATGTACTAAGGGCTCGTCTTCAGGTGTGAAACACTCAGAGAGTGACAAGGTATTCTGGTGCAGTAGGTATTGTTGAGTAACTTGATGAATTCTCCTCATGTTTGGGTGCTGTCTGTTTAGTTACACTCAAACCCTTTCAAAATGGGCACTTGAATAGCCCTGGGGAAGACAAAGCCTTAGACAGACACATTTTATCAAAACTCGGATTTAAAAAAAAAAAACAAAAAACCAAACCAGTAATGTTATGCAAGCTTATAAACATGTATTATGGTTAATGGGGACACTTCACATGGGGACACTTCAGAACCAAGGGAGGGTGTTGGGCAAAGAGTATCACTGGCAGTACAAAGGAATTTTGGAAACTAGGGGGTTTTCTGAACTGGTTACTCTTTTGACATATATACAGCTGCATTCCTTCACTCCAGGAAAGAGCTGTCACTTTTAAGGAAGCTCCAATACTTTACGTCAAACCTTATAAAACTTATCTTTAAGAGAGTCTTTCCTACTCCTAGATCCTCCCTGTGTCTTGCATAAGACCACAATTATTAGACCAATGTTCTAACAGATTGCCACTCACTTACATTCCCTGCTCCACTCCATCAAAGCACCAAACTGAACTGGTCCATCTCTGCTGTTCAGAAGACATCAGCCCTCTTAGTCAACCCTAAAACTACTTTTATACGAACATATCATCTTCTCCTCTGTTGTAATCTAATTTTCTGACAGCTCCAAGTATCCCCTAGAAAACCTGACACTGACCTTGTGAGGCTCCCTTCATCCCTGCCCTAAGGAGATGCCACCTTCCATAATACACTGGAACCCACCCACAACAGCTGGAGCTGCACATCTAGACATCAATTGTCTGTAAAATGTTCTGAACTACATGCACACACCATTCAGTCACTAATTGCAAAATCTTGTACTTAATTCAGAAGAAAGAAATTCCTGTAATGTAGAAGTAATGGGTTAAACATAAATGTTTTTAAGTGGCTCAGCTATACAATAGAGAATAATTAGGTATCCATAATAAGGCAGTTTAATAGTATACTAAATGACATTCCCTCACATAGGGTGTAATTACTTTCATGTACTTGACACATTCATGTGAGATGTCAGACTGGAAGATTATTATTGTTTTTTCATATCCAATTTTCAGTTAGAAGTAGTTTGTCTGTGCATCTTCCTGCTCATTTGAGGATTAACAGTCCATTATTATTGGAACGAGTTTCCAGTATGACATTTCTCACATTGCTGCTAATTTTCTTTCCTGGTCCCTTTTCAGTATAGTGCATGTGGTTTTTACTGTTTGATTTATTAAATTTGACATACCAAAGCACTTGCTCAGATTGGTCTGTTTGTCAATGAAGACTTTAGCAGAGATAACATTTCCAAAAGGCATGAACATCTGCAGAATGTCCTGGTCTCCAAACTCCTGGGGGAGGTGGTAAATAAAGAGGTTTGCCCCTTCTGGACCTTTAGGAAAATAAAATAAATAAAAAAAAAAAAGAAGTATGAAAACAGTCATCACAAGTGCTACATTTAATCTATTTTTCCATAATACTTACTGAAGATGATGGTCAGAAAGCATTTCATTTTCCAAATTCGAAGGAACAAAAGCAAGTGGATCATCAAAGGAGTACAGCTGAATGCAGCTCTCTAGAGCATCCCATCTTGAGAAGCGTTTACTTTGAAAAGCACTTATTTCATAACTCTACCACAGAAGTAATAAAATTCATCCCCTTTCTTCAATTTGTATGAGTGTCTTGCAGTATAATTAGGGTTAGAATAACATATTGCTCTCTCAAAATACCCCAAGAACTGCACAAGGAGTTCTCTGCTGCCTCAAATGCCTGCACAGGTTTGGTGGTTTAATTCCAGTCGCAGGAACTTATGGAAAGGGAATGAGCTGAGCTCAGATTTCAGTACCACAGACTTAAACTCAAAGGGCAGGAAAATGGTGGAGATGGGAATAAAAGTAATAAGACAAAGCACACCTTGTGACTTGGAAGTCAGTGAAGTCAGAGAGAGAAAGACACTTAGAATTAAATTTGTACTGACTCATTTCAAAATGAGTTTGTTGTTGTTTTTTTTTATTTATTTTTATTTTTTTTAACACAAATTCCCTATAGAAAGCTCTGTCTCCTGGAAGAAACTTTGTAAAGTAAGCATTTTAAAGAAGTTCGAAATTAAGTAGTTGGCTTGAAATTAAAGCAGCTTTAGCCTGTTCAGTCTGCAAAGAGAGGTGCAAACTCAAAGGTGCTTCGGATGTTTGTCTTACAGACAAAATTTGAGGTATGCATTATTAAAGTTGTAGGTTAAAACATTCATGCTAGCACTAATAGGTTTTTTTCTTCCCCTAGCTCAAGTGTCCCTTTACAGTAACATACTGGAAATGAGCAATGGATGCCAGGAAGAACATGACAGATGATGGAGTCAGACATGGGCCTCCCCGTGCAGGCTCCAGGAGTGTAAGTGGTACACAAAGGGAACAAACATTTCCGGAAAAAACACTTGTAGAACAACCTGATTAAGTATTCCCTTGCTTAATGGAACCTAAATGTGCCTCAGATGTGACGTCCTTGGTTTTCTGGAGAGGGAGAGGTAAGCGAACATCAGATTTATGGGTTCTTTCTGCAGGTGAGCCACAAAGCCTCACATCTCCCATACAGAAGAACCAAGCTGGCTGCTCTCTCTCAGCCTGCAGGAAACTTTTCTTCTTACCCCAAGTAAATTATAGTTTCCAATAAATAATATTTCTTAAAATAGTAATAAAAACCCCTTATTGAACAATATTTAAGAGCAGATGCATGAGGCAGTTCATGATGCTTCAGCAATTAATACTTATATAGATTTTTCTCTAGTACTTGTTTATCCTCAGCCACTCCAGACTCTTCAACATTCCATTAGAAATCATAGTAAGAGGCAAAACATTGTTGCCAGTATTCAGTGATGGAATTTACTCACTTTAACTGAACTCCTTACGGACAGATACAAGACATACAACAAAAAATACTGTATTTTAAAAGGCTTGCTGCCAATTTATAACATTAAAAAATAAGCCTAAAGCTGATTTGAATGTTTCTAAAGAGGAAAAAATTAAAATGGAAAAGAAATCAAACTACCATCCACTGTGTATCTTGCAATGACACCAAATAAAGAATTTTTTTCTGGTGTCAAATAGTCTATTGTCACTGACCAAAGTGCCCAAGGTGAAATACAAATGCAGAAAACATTAAAAAAAAAAAGAAAAAAAATTTTAAATCCTTTCAATTTAAATAATCCAAACTGTTAGCAGTAAATGAAGAAGAGACATCAGACAAAATACACATTTTAAGTCCAGTGTCTCTGTCTGGGGGAATGCCAAATTTGTCTTCCTAGGAAACACATCCCATAACAGTACAAGGTAGTATTTCAAAAGAGGATAAAAAAGATTTCTCTTGAGGATATTATACTAGGTTTATTTTCAAAGCTTATCCCTGGCAAGGAACAGTAGTGACAACACAGATACAGTCTTAGAAAGCATGCACCATTTTCCTGTCTTTCTGGAACTAACTGGAAATTAGGATGAGAAAAAGCCATGAAAAGAGAAACAAGCCCCCAAAATGCCTGGGAAGTGTGCAGGGGAAGGGAAGAGGGGAAAAAGGTAACCTCATTTTCCTGAACACCTTGTAATTAATATTCATTTATTCTCAGCAACAACTTCCTGAGGTTTATTTGCTGTTGACGCTGGGAGAGGGGGCAATCATTCACTTAGTTGCTTCCCCACAAGACCCACAATTAACCAAAGAACCACTCAAAGGGAAAACGGATCTTGTCATTAGCTCAAAACCTTAAACTTAATCAGATCAACCCCATTTTGATGGAAAATGGAAACCAGAAGAGAAAACTGCATCCATAAAGGGATGATTTTTGTTAGCAGCACCTTTTTATACGGTAGTTGGTAAACGTTTTTATATGAGCTCAGTTGGTCAGAGCATAGTGCTACTATCACCAGGGTTGTGGGTTTGATCCCCATATGGGCCCTTTAGAGTTGGACTCAATGATCCTTGTGAGTTCCCTTCCAACTCAGAATACGCTGTGAAATGAGAGGATGTCTTTATGGAAGGGAAATTTCAAGTTAAAGCTCATATCCAGCAAGGGCATTTTTGCAGTTCAGCCACTGCATCTCAGGAGAGGTCTGCTGGGCTTGGAGACTGTCTGCAAAAATCCAGCCAGACCAGACCTTAAAATTTCCATTCTTATTTAAAGAAGCTTTACAGGTCACATTAATCTGAAGCCTGAGGTTATAGTTCAGTTGGTCAGAGCGTAGTGCTACTAACATCAAGGTTGTGGGTTTGAGTGCTAACACCAAAGTTGTGGGTTTGATCCCCATATGGGCCCTTCACTTAAGAGCTGGGCTCGATGATCCCTGTGGGTCCCTTCGAACTCAGAACATTCTCTGAAAGTGCAGTTTATTATTATCATTATTATTATTATTATTATTATTATTACTCAGAAAGGATGGTCGGTAAGGTGTAAGTCGAAGGACAGATGGTTAAAAAGCCGAGGTTAAAGAAGGCAACAACACTAAACGGGAGAAAACTGGAAGAAACCAAAGAAAAGCCACAGATTAGACCACCTGAGCTCTTTGATTCAGTCCCCGCGGTGAAGACACTGCTCCGGCTTGGCTGCGGGTGGCTCGGCGGTGTGGGCACTTACCTTCCTTCTGGCTGCCCGCGGCGCTTTGCTGCTGCAGCAGGCTCTGGCTGTAGAGGGTGGGCAGCGCGGCGGCGGCGTACTGCTGGATTCCTGAGTAGGCCTGGGTGAGCGCGTCCATCGTGCCGGCCGTGCCGTTCGTCAGGCCCGTCGCGCCGAGTCCTCCGTTCAGGGCCGCCATACCTGAGAGCATTTGAGCAACTTTACAAAAAACCCAACAATAGAGAAAAGAAATTGCACTTGTTCATTAGTGCTTTCCGAAAGTCGTTGGTTATTTTCATTAACGACACTGACAACGACAGCGGTTGCATGCAGCTCGGCACTCCACCAAAATGGGACTGAAAACAAAGAAACACGAACTTTGGCGCCAGGGTCACTTCAGCACAAGGGTTGCACAGTCAAACGGACCCGCATGCAGCCTGCTACTGGCAAGTACTACAGCTCCGTGCTTCTGAGAGCCTCTCTGCTCACCCTCCTCCACACCCCGGGTGTCTGAAGTTGGGAGAGTGGGACCTATTTGACCTGTAAGCTGGGCACCGGGAAAAGTGGTCTGCGAGGAAACCCACTCCTTCTTTACCAGGGTCTTCTGATTTAACTGCATTTTGAGACAACTTCTTAAAGGTCTTTTCCAATCTAAATGATTCTATGATAACCCTCTGTATAATTATGGGTTTTGTCCCTTAGGCTTGTGGTAGGAAGATGGACTGTGATGGTCCGTGCTTACTTCCACCCCCCTCCTCCAGTTACTCCACAAAAGATGAACAGCAACACATCCAGAGTGACTAAAAATGCTTCGTCCAGACTAGGCATCTTTCATGAAGAAACACAAGCATTTGTTTCTAGCAATGTCTTTCTCATGGCAAGCAGAGTCACTTCATTTTGTTTATTTATTTTTTTTTTTACTTGAAGCGATAGCAGAGTAATTTAAATGGGATGGTTGCTAAAGAGGAAATTTCAGGTAGGATTGTTAGCTGTGTGGAAAATGGCACCCCTCATCCCTTCAAATAGTGTGGTCTGCAGAAGGAGTTATACTACTCTGGTGCAAACTCCTGAGCTACAGCCTCTCTCCATTACTTCTATTTCTCAGCATGGCTCCTAAACGAGTCATGTTAAAGTTAAAAGTGTTAACAATTATTTTAGAAATTCCAGAAAAACTGGATTTTCCGTTAGAGCTTCAGTCTCTTGAAGTCAAAAGCGTGGCAGAGTTCAGAGCCCTGCTCATCTTCCACACGCCCAACTTGTGTCAGCCTGAGCAGTAAGTGCCCATGAGGGCTGAGAGTCAGGCCACACTTTCTGCACAGGTAGCTATCCCATGCTCCCCACTTTGTAAGTGAGTAGCTCACAAACAACTTAAAGGGCTTAGTCAGGCCCCTCGAGCTACAGTAGATCAGTCACTAGAAAAATGGGGCACCCAGAATCACCAGAGATCATTTCTTAGACATTGTGTAGTGTTTCTGTTGGCAGAATGATGGGTGAAGAGGTAACTGGTGGTGTCATATTGAGACTCCAAAACCAGGAACATGGACGAGAAAGGAAGGCCTTAATTTCAGAGCAGTAATAAGGGTTGGTATGTAAATTGGGGGAAAGTGGGGAAATTAAGCAGAAGACACTTTTAGAAAATTAACATTGAAATCTATTAGAGTGGGAAAAAATCTTCAAGGAAGATGGCACAAACCTTATCATATGAGTAATTTAGAGATAGGAAGAATACTGCAGGGAATTATCCAGCATTGACAGAGGAGGATAAAGATGCTGACCCCAGTATCCTTCCATCTCTTATGTAGATTTGAAAAGCATATTCCTATGAGTCTCCAATAATCAGGACAATTACTCAAGTGGCACCTTTCTGGCTCCACCAGAGTCTGTGCCAATTAGTAGAACTGTACTGCATAAATTATACCTTTTGATATTACTATAATTTGTGTGACTAAACACTTGACAGAGGTGTGATATTCTTAGCCTTTCCTTAATAAAATGTCTCACACTTTGAAGATTTCTCTTTCCTTTCCACCTCACTTCAGAGCACCACTGTACCCTGATGGGAGGTACTGGCTGCCACTGCTTTGAACAAAAGTCTCTGTCAGAGCTCAAGAGACATGGGTATTTCTTGTATAATGGTTCCAGTTATAAAAGTGTATTGGGTTTGTGTGGTAGCAGAGGGGTGACAGGGGTGGTTTCTCTGAGAAGCTCCTAGAAGCCTCTCCTGTGTCCCACAGAGCCAATGCCAGGCTGGCTCCAGGATGGACCCACCACTGACCAAGAGCCCATCAGTGATGGTGGTAGCATCTCTGGGGTAACATGTTGAAAAGGGGAAAAAAACCTCATGAAATGGAAACTGCAGCCAGAGAAGAGAAAAAATGAGAATGTGTGAGAGAAACAGCCTCAGAGACACCCAGGTCAGTGAAGAGGGAAGGGAAGGAGGAGCTCCAGGCACCAGAGCTGAGATGCCCCTGCAGCCCGTGGTGCAGTCCCTGGAGGTCCATGGAGGAGCAGAGGTTCACCTGTAGCCCGTGGAGGACCCCACACCAGAGCAGGTGGATGCCTGAAGGAGGCTGTGACCCTGTGGGAAGCCAATGCTCCTGGTAGGACCTGTAGACCAGTGGAGAGAGGACCACTCCTACTCCACACTGGAGCAGGTTTGTTGTCAGGACTTGAGACCCCACAGGGGATCCACGCTGAACAGCTTATTCCTGAAGGAACATCCATGGATGGGGTAAATGCTGGAGCAGTTCAGGAAGAAGTGGGAAGGAACCCACACTGGAGAAATTGGTGGAGAACGGTGGACTTGATGCTAGAGCAAAGGAAGAGCATGAGGAGTTCAGCCCTGGAGGAGGAAGGAGCAGCAGAGACAGAATGTGATGAACTGACCACAGCCCCCTTTCCCCATCCTCCTGTGCCACTATGGGAGAGGAGGTGGAGAATTTGGGGATAAAGGTAAGCCTGGGAGGAAGTTAGTGGTGGGGAGAAGGTGTTTTTAAGATTTGGTTTCATTTCCCATTACTCTACTCTGATTTGACTGGCAATAATTTAAACTAATTTCCCCAAGTTGGGTCTGTTCTGCCTGTGGTGGCAGCTGGTGGGTGATGTCTCCCTGCCCTCAATCCATGAGCCTTTTGTTGTATTTTCTCTCTCATGCCCTTTTAGGAGGGGGACTGATAGAGCGGTATTTAAAATATCATAATAACGAGAAAAATAACAACAAAAACTTTTATAATAAATTATGTATAATATGCAATATATTAGATATTATGTATTAAATACTACTACTACTACTAATGTGATCCTCAGGCTGACCCTAATCTGCTCTGATGTTTCTGGACATAGGTTTGTGTCACTGCTTGCATGGGTGTACACACAGGACTGGTTAAAGTAGAGGCTCCTGATAAAGCAGCTTGCATCTCTCTTTTTATTAGTGTTGAAATAACTTGATAACAGACATTACATTAGGATAACATCTTTCATGAGTCATCAGCCTATTAGATAAACGTGCTTTGTGTTGCAGTGGGCAGCATCCTCCCCCTCCTCTCCCCAAGAATCAATAACCCCTTCCCACCAGGCAATTCCAGATTAGCAAACAGCCAGACAGCCCAGCTCAGGGCACTGCTTCTGGGAAGGGCACAGCCACTGCTGCCACAGTGCACGTGTCTAATACACCTCCCTTCTGAGCAAAACAGAGCTGCACGTTTTTTCTGTTCTCCCTTTTTACATTTTTATGAAATCTACAAGGCCCAGCTGCAGTTACACATCTCTGCCATCTCTTTATTATCTCTACCAATGCACCTCAGTCTGACATTGAACTCTGGTCCCTTCCTCCCTGCTGTGAAATAACCTTTTGGAGCCTCTCATCTATGGCCTTCTACTTTTCTGAGTTTCTCTACATAATACAGCAGCAACAATGCTTGGCAAGTCTAAAGGTCCTTCAAAGTGTTTTCCAAGCACCTTCAAATCTGTCACAAATAGTTTTATCTCCGTTTTACAGATGTAAATACGGGGGCAGAAAGGCTAAGTGATTGCCCTGAGGTCTCACACAAACACTGTGCCATAGCTGTTCAGTATCCAGAAACTATGGTCTTCTTTCTTAATTGTAAAGAATGGCTTCCTCTCTCTTTATTAATTTTTCCTCATTATTCATAATTCTTTTTTTTACTTAAAATTCTTAAATTTACATGCCCAAAGCAGATAGTCTAATATTTTGCCCTTTAAGGTTTTAGGTTCTTCAAGAACAACCAGGGGAAGACTAGGTACCACTGCTGCCAAATCCTTGGAGACAGTTAAACTTTGCTCTCACTATCAGTCTCCATAGTCCACCTTTTTTTTCATGGACCCAGACAGGATCCAGAAAACAGTTAAGAGTCTCCTGGTGAGCTCAGCATGGAAGACATTCTCCGTGTGATTCTCAGATACAGAGCAGGACACCTCTGTGTCGGAGCCCAGTGCTGCCCTCTGATTAATTTTTGGGTTAAGCCTCCCTTTGACTTATGCTTTGGATTTTCTAATTCCCCAATTAGAAGCCTGTCACTCACTTCCAAGTTCTCTGCACAATTACTTCAGGAATGTCCACGGCCAATGAGTGTTTTTACTGGAGTGATTATGACCATGGCATAAGCCACATCAGGGTGAAACATCAGACTTATTGAACGTGAGGTTTCCCGAAGGCAAACTCCCAGGCAGGCTTGAGTGGGAATGACTGGATCAGACACAGTCACTAGGAAAACTCCTGGATCGTCATTAAAATAGACAGGGGAGGTGGTTGTAATGTGAACAACGCTTCACTGTCATCTGCATCACAAGCACCAGAAACTGAAAATCAGGGTCATGTTTTTGAGAGAAACAGTGCCTTAAGACTGAGTTGTGTCACGGGGAAGCAGTTTCCCCTCCTTAGCTCTCTCTCATATTTGTATATACACAGACAGACACACCCACACGCACTTTGCAAGTGCTGTACACATGTCCATAAAAGCATCCATGAAGAAGATTTGGGACTGGAGTCACTGTTGGCACAAGTCCGTGGAAGTAATGGTGGCTTAAAACAAGCTCAAATTTGCTAGTAGGTTGCAAATACATCATTAATATTTCAAAGTTTGCACACACATCACCTCAAAATGCTTGCTGAGAAAATGTAAACTCGTGGCTTGCAGCCTAGCAAGGAGCTCACAAAGAGCTCACAGGTGATTCACTCTTGCTTGGTACTGATGAAGGGACATGTTTTGTTGGAGTGTTCCAGTATGCCTGGGTTCTTATGACTGGTGAGAGGGAAGGAGGGGGATGCTATATTTTGCTCTTGATATTGTGACTTCTGATAAACCAAGTGAAGCACAAATCAGGAAAGGTCATTTAACCATTTCTTACAACAGGATAGCTCTCTTACTACAAGTGCTCACGAGGGGAGGGCAGGGAAGTTAGCTTTTCATGCTCGCCATTTCCAGTGGTTTGCTTCGATACTAAGGTACTAATAAGAAAGGAAACTAACACCTGCCATTTTGGGAACTAATACTTACTTTTCTTTAGCTGTTCTTGAGTCGTGTTTACAAAGAGGTTGTTTGTGTGAAATACGCACGTCCTTGCCAGAAGCAAGTCCTGTTTTACACAAGACCCCATGCAACCACTCAACACTGGACATCCATAAGCCCCCTTCCTTCCCAGCTCCCAACAATGCCAACCAGAGATCACAGAACAAAAAGATTGGGTGAGCAGCCAAGTGACAGTAACAGAAAGGACATCATGCAGAGCATCAGAGTGAGCAAGAGATACTGAGGAGGACATCCATTCCTGAGGGTACATTATGACGGGTCATGGGCTGGCAGTGACCAAATAGATTCCTTGCATTGCAAAAGGAAATGCAAGGAGCAACGGCAGCTAAAGAAAAAAGAGGGAGGGAAAAAAATGCAGCTGGGCAAATCTCTTCCATTGCAGGCAAAGGTGAAGTCATTATAGCAGAAACAATTAAAAAAAAAAATAAATCCTTCTTCAGGAAAATCTTGACCAAGGCTAAGAACAAGGAAGAATGTTGTAACAGCTACAGGCATCTACTTAACTGGAGATGCCAGGGTTTGTGTAAGATGTCATAGGAAAGATGTACATGCTCTGGCATTCCAGGTGACTGACTGTATCATTCTCTTATATTTGCCAATTAAAAGCCAAAGACTTGCCTTCATTTTTAAAGTATGCTGCTCTCAGTCAATTTGATAATTCCTTCAGACATTTTAAAGGTCTGCCTCAGTGGCAAATGTCTTTCTTAGCACTACATTTCTGAGTGAGGCTTTGCACATTGGGGTGATACACCTGTTGTCAGACTCCCTCAGTGAAAATGGAGCCTCTCCTATAACCTAGATAACCCAAATCTCTGGTGACATTTCTTCTACCTTCCACATGTACTAAAAGGAAAGGAGTCTTTGTGCAGGCACCCATGGAACTTCACTTAGCAGCACAAACTGTGTGAAACTAAAAGACTCCAGAACTGAATATACACCATGAATGGAACTGGATCAACTGGACCCCCTTATTCGGTATACAGATTAAAAATCATCACTTTACAACTGATAGTTTTTGTGGCATGATTATTGGGGAAGGCTGTCCACCACAGCAAATAAATACTCACTGTTTACGGTACCTGCTAGTGCATTAATATTATTCAATCCAACAGTGGCTCCAGCCAGTCCTTGGAGAGTACCCAGAGAAGTCAAAGAATTCATGGCCGCACCAGCTGTGGAATTAGCAGTTGATGCAGCCACTGAAAGGAAAAAAAACAAAGCAAAATTAAGGCCATATTTTGTTTATTTTAGTAGATCACAGAACAGCTCACAATAACATGGAGAACAACAACAGGGCTTTTTGCAAGGAGAAGAAAAAAAGAAAATGAGGCTAACAGACAAACCTTATTCAAGGTATTAATAGCATGGTTGTTCAGGGAAAGTGTTGATAAGCCTAGAACTGCAAATACTAGATCACCAAAGTTAGCATCGTACTATCATTTGCAAACATGATACTAAAACAGTAAGAATGGGATCAGGCACTTTCTCAAAAGTTTGTCAATCAACCTAGCATCCCAGGCTAACTAGGCTATTGGGATTTTGCCACACTTCAAAGTCCATCATTGAAAAAAACAAGTATTACTCATAGTAATTTTTTCATACAACAGCTTACTCTTCTGGGCCCCAAGCATCCTAAGAGGAAGTTTAATTATCCTCAGTGAGACACTACGCTCTAGGACACTGTATGAATATCAGTTAAAAACCCTGAAGTTTAGAAAAAGAGGAAAGACCAGGCAAATACAAAACACCCTCAATTTTATTGCAGGCTTTTAGCCTGGCCTTTATACATAGCTAGTCATGTGCATGCACCCCAATGGTACTATTATGTGTCCCCAAATGATCTGCCAGAGGGGAAAAGGTGGAGAAAATGTCCTTGCTGCTACCATGTCAAGGGAATGATGAAGGTGGGTGAGGTGAATCTATCTAAACTACATGTTTAGGAACAGAAAGAGACTTACTCTCCTGTCATAGGAAAGTAATAAAGCACCTTGGAAAGAGTCACTGTTTGGGGTAGGTTGGGTGAACCAGAAATACCTGTGTCTCTCACAGAAGGGCCTTGAATAACCAGTGTAGATTAAACACTTAACTTACAGGCAGGTAAAGTTATACCAGATGAATCACACTCATAAAAGCTGCAGAAGCAATTAGGTTTTTAGCTTGTCTCCTGAGCCCTACTTTACTGCATCAATCACAAAGACTTCCTTTCATTTCTGTTATAAAGTTGCATTATCTTATGAAAAGTGAACATTTAAAGTCAGAGTTTTGCTGATGATGTATTGGAGGCACATCATGTCTACACTACAATTTTTGCTCCTATTCATTACCTAGCTATGAAATGGTTAAGAGCACTTTTATCCTGATGCTCTTTTGGGCTGTCAAACACATCAGATTTCTCAGTGAACCCTCAAGAAAGTGAAGTCTCTGGAGCTGACAGCATCCAGAAAGGAAAGCAGGAGGCAACTTTTCCACTCTGTAGGTAAACCTTGAAGCTCTAACCTACAAATAACCCACCTTTACAGCACTAAGACCCAGCAAGGAAAAGTCCTCAAACTCGTGAGGCCTCAAAGTACAAAGAACATTCTGATGTGGGTGAAGAGAAGTTTCCAGACTCTGTTATGCATCCCTCATCTCTCAGCATCTGGGATCTCAGTCTGAATAATTTTATGTGTCGCAGATAGAAGCCCCTTAGATTATTCAATCTGTCCCCACAAAGCAGTAAGAATCCAATAATGTCTTTGATTAGAAAAAGTAATAAAATCCAAGTAAAAAAATCCCACTTTTGTCAGATAATGTGAACAACAACAGAGAAGAGGACAAAACCAAAGTGAATTCCCTGTGACCAACACTGCTCTGTGTTTCTGTTAACGTTCATTAGCAAATCATTTAAATGAAGTATATAAACCTCAAATATGAAGGATCTGATTGGTTTCGACTGGACTAAATTCCATCCATTTTCTGTTTCAGAGGATTTCTAATATTTTCTCTTGAGGAAACACATAAGAAATGAGAGAAATGGGGGCTAGGAAACTGCCTGTAAATTACATTAAAGCTGGGGGCAAATAACTCCTGTGAACAAGAGCCATACACTTATGGATAGGCAACACATCTGTTGGTGAAGGCAAAAAAAAATTTGCTTAAATCCTTCCCTCTTGTGCAGCCCACAGTGTGTTGTGGTGGCTCTTATCATAGTCTGTGAAACACATGCTCCAGGGATGGCCAGTATCTGGGACCAACATCTCTTTTCTTCTTTCATTTGTATCAAGTTTCTCTATTCCACCAGACAAATACAGAGTAGGTGCCTCAGCGCTTCTCCCACTTGAAGCTGCAGTGCAGATTATCTAGTTTGTCTAAATAATGACTTGGCACATAATCAGTGTAAAATACTACTTGGAGCACTAAAGCACCTCAGAAATCAGCATTTTGTTGTTGCGACTATTACTTCTGCTCGAAGGCCATAAAAGGTCCAAGACATTAAGAGAGGTGAAAATGTCCCCACAAAATGCTGTATAAAACCAACAGATGAAGCAGTGGTATGCCTTGTCCCCTAAAAATTAAGGGAGATGAAAACTGAAGTTAAGGGTCTTACAAGATGTGTGAGGGCTTAGACAAACTGAAAGTTTTTACTTCATGTGCCCCCAGAATATGTTGAAATCCATTTAGAGACAAGGACTATGCTTCCTCTGTCCTTTACCATTTTCTAGCTCCTTTCAACTAAAAAATTGTAACACATATTGAATCAAAGGGAAAGAAGAAAAATCACGTCTTGTGTTAAGAGCAGATGGCTGCAGTACTTTGGGGGAACCTGTATAACTCTCTCATGTCAGTAAAACTCTTCGGGCTCCACAAAAGCTCAGGGTAACAGCAAGGGAAGAATAATTCATGCTGGAATGCTGTTATTCTATATTTATATCTTTTAGTTGTCCAAATGAAAAAAAAATAGATTGGATACCCACAGACTTTATAAACTGTTTTTTACCAGGTTCCCCTGCCACCAAATAAATGAAAACACTTCACAACTCCCTCCATCCTCCATGCCAAAACACTGCTGCTCTGAATGGGATCACTTCATAGTGCTGCTTCATAAAGAGTAGGCATCTGCCTCCAGGAACTTGAACTATGGAGCTGCAGTGTCACCAGGAACTGCCCCCTGTGCTAACGGTGCACAAGAATTTGGTGCAACAATGAGGAAAATCTAACACAGAAAACAATTGCAAATGACTCTGACTTTTGGTGTCACTCAGGGTGGCACACCCCGCAGCCACAACATTCCGTGTATTGTTTTTCTCTTTATACTGGGAATTTTATCCTTGCCTCCTGTGGTGGTGATACTGTAGCTAAGGGGAGAGACTGAGCAGACTGGAGATCCAGCTGGTTCAATGCTGGCTGAAGATACAACACTTGGTGAAGAGCAGAGATCCTTTTTACCAGCTGCACCAATCATTCCCTCACAATCTTAATCTCTGGACAAACATCAGAACATGAAATATAAGATTTTTTTCTACTCATAGGAACTTTTTCCTTTCTAATATGTGACACTGCAATAAGTTGATGACTTTCTCAAAGAGAGTGTTGCTCAATCAGAGACTACTGGCAGCAGTTATGGGGTTGAATCGTTTGGCTGTTGCTGCAAGACTTCAGACAAGATGTTCATCAATTCCCCCCCACACCTTAAAACTCTATTAATATGTGAAAATATATTTTCAGCATTGCCTAAAGAGGTCAGTTTAGACTTGTAAAAGTAAAGAGTTTCCCAGTAGCCTATGGAAAAATCTGCTTTTTCTTACAGGTGCACTGCATGTTGCCTTCTCTATCCATACCACATAAAGAGACCCTACAGAACACTTTTGCATCTCCAACCATGAAAGGCAAGAAGGTTAAAAGTGTTTATTTTACTATTAGAGACCTTCCTGTTTCTTCTTCATTGACCCATCTATTCCTACATTTCTGTGTCAGTCTCACACCCTTCCTCCTCCTTATTCTAAACTCAATTCCATTTGAAAACTTTGAAAAATAGAAATTACATTTTTAAGAAGCTCTGAAATGGAGAAGGACAGGGCTTGCAGCCTTTCCCCAACATCCTTTCCAAATCAGTTCCAACCCCAGTCATTTCATCTTCCTGTGGTTGCTCCATTTAACTGATGAAATTTTTGCTACCAGCTTCTTTATGAAGAAAGAGACTTGGCCTTTGGTTAATATATTCTCTAAAACAGTCTTCCTTGATGCAGAGAACACATTTTCATTTGGAGTGGTTGGTCTACACAATACAGATATTTGTTTTGTTAAAGATTTTTAAGGCTGGAAGGATCTGGCATTTTCAACTTTCTCCCAAAACATTTACTTCTGCCTGTAAAAGGTTATAACACCTCTAAGGTCAGAGATTTTTTTTTTTTTTTTTAAACAGAAATCTAAACTAGCAATGAGCTGTTTCCCTTTTAATTTAAATAAAATTTTAACAACATTGCTGTAAACTGTGCCAACCTAGAAAAACAACCGGTATTAGCATAGAAACTTTTGGCCATTCTTTTGGCTAGCTTATGTCAATAGAGTCATGATGATTTACATCATCTGGATTTACCTCAGCTGGAAAACTAGATTCAGGATAACAGCATCTAGGAAAGGCAATGATGTGTAAATATTTCTTTGGCTTTGCTATGCACACTGTGGATAGAATTAATTTCCCCACCTTTGGCAGCCTTGTTGTTAGTTTAAGCTAGTCTAGTCAAAACTATTCTTTTCCACTGTCTCTGAGATTTAAAGACGTCCGATTAAGAACCTTTAGATTTCTATCTTAGGTTGTGCTGAATTGCCATAAAGATCACACAGATGAGATCAACTACCAGATGCTATTGATGCCTTTCCCACTTCTACCTCAAGCTACACAGTGGGCTGTGCACTGTCTCCCTTCCACTTCACCTTGTCCTGATCCCTTCTTCCTCCCCCAGCACTGGCATACTGTCTGGAAACGATACACAGTCAAACTGCAGGTCTTGGACTAAGATAATTGAGAATATCAAAGACGCATTTCAAACATTTTAACTGAAGTTCCTCATTGGAAACATTATTTTGGTTTTAGGGCAGGACTAAAGGAGAGGATGGGCAAAGAAATGCAAGGGCAGCTTCAGCTCTTTGCCTGCGTGGAAGGTTGCTGCAGGCCTTGCCAAACCCCTTCCACGTGAGGAGCAGCTAATGCTTCCAGAGC